CCCAGGTTACTTTTCATGGCACCCAATGGCAATGGTTGCGTACGACCCGGGCGTTTGCAATAAGCATTGAATATGGCCTGTATTTCTGGCGGATCGCCAGCCTTTGAATAAAAAAAATTGTTTTCATTAATTATTGACAAATTATTAACTATTAGATACTATTATGTAAATGAATAAAACAAGTTTTAAGGTAAACAAGTTTCAAGTACATGTAAAAAGTATTTATTTTTATAAGTCGTGTGTAAATAAAAGTTTTGCACTAAACGTAAATAATTACTATATTATATAATATTATTAATATTATTATAATACTATATTATTATATTATATAATATTATTAATATTATTATAATACTATATTATTATATTATATTTTAACTTGAGCTAGATGTTATCCTATCTAATAGTTCTATAATGAAATTACTAATAAATAAAATATAACCAAGGCCAACCTTAGTGCCGGTGCAATGGGCCTCAAAATAAGTCAACTTCAGTGGGTCTACGTTAGCGTCGGTATACGACACGACCATCAGTTCCTCCTGTGCCTCAGACAATGGGAACAGCATTCCTATGGTCTTATTGCCGTCGATGTTCATACGGGCGGACAATACAGTGGCGTATAGGCGTCGGGAGGTGTGTCGGCGCTGTAGGAACAGTGCGCACACGGCCTCCGACTTGACGAAGCCGTCCGCCTCCCTGTCCAATACGGCCGACACACCTCTCGGCGAGCATATGCCTAACTCCTGTTGAAACTGATAGATGTATGGCTCGAATAGCATGTGAGTGCCGCACACGACGGCGCTGTCGATGTGACCTTGTTATCCGTAAATTACAGTATAAATACATTAGTTTGTGGGATAACTCAATCAGTACGTACGCAATCCATTTATAATTTTAAAAGTAATTATTTTTATGTCAAGCATAATATGCTGTAGCAAGATTATTTATAAAAGCAATGTACCCAGCCTCATGTCATTCATAGCCAGTGTGAGGGCCGACCCACTGGCCGAGCAGGCGGTGTCCACTATCAGTGACGGCCCCCTGAAGTCAAACACGAATGATATGCGGGAGGCGTAGAAAGTCTTCATATTAGACATCGTTTGTAACATAACTTCGTGTAAATTGATGCGCGAATCGGGCTGTAAGTCGTCCGGCAGCCCATCACTCATGCCATATATGGATACGCCTACGTATACACCCGTATGGCTGCCCCTCAGTTCCTGTGGGTTTACACCTATGTATCAAATCTTTCATTTAGCATGAATTGGGTTTAGCGTTAGGTTAGGTTAAGCACCGGCATCAACAATGGCTTCGTAGGTGACCTCCAGAAGCATACGGGCCTGTGGGTCGACCTCATCGACCACGTCCTTCATGAGCCCAAAGAATGTGGTGTCAAACCTGTCGAAGTCCACTATTTTGCCCATTCGGGGGCACATGTCGTATAATTCTGTGTATATTTGTAAGTTTGTTAGGAATTATTTTTTTTCAAATCTAGGTTTTAGCTTAAAATATAGTAAACATTTGTATACCTATTGGCCAACGCGTGTCATCACCGGTGATCATATCCGTGCCATCGAACAGATTCTTTGCCAACTCGTCGGTGGTGTCCGACAGTGGGAACCGACCGGACATACCACTGATCACCACATCGTTCACAGACATTATTTTTTAAATGTTAGCTTCAAGTTAGCTAGTCACAATAAATGAATAAACTGCATTAGTATGAAATTATAAGTTTTACAACAACTGGCAGTAATAAATATGTTATAGTCCGATAATATAGTAATACAATGAGTACTTTAATGAATAAGATTTTAAATTCAAAATAAATGAAAGAAATACAAAGTAATGTTAGTTTATCACAATATGTTAAAGCTTTATAAAGCCTTCTGAAGAATTTACTCATAAATGGATATTTAATTTGTTGATGTGATCAAAATCATGAGGCATTTAGATGTACACACTATTGACAATATAACTTACTATTGGATTATATTAAGTTTAAAAAAAATGTGTTATTTTAGGTGCAGGTTATTATTTCAATTGAGTGTCTGTACGAAAACATTTGCTAGTTTGAAAATAATAAAGTGGAATATATTAAATAAACTCAATGACAAATATTAATGTTAAATACATAAAATAAATTAAAATTATAGTTAAACTTAAATCGTTGTTAATTGTTTTGCAAACTATAATTTTATAATTTTTGCCATTTGATTAAACAGTTATTTAAAAGGTCATTTACCTACATACACGTTATATTTTAAATAAGATGTCTAGTCTAACATAATATTCTCCTTATAAAAAATGTTAAATAAAAAATCCTTTAAACGTGTTTCAAAACTCATAAAGATTACAACATAGATGCTAATAAACAAGTTTGAAAGTATTATTAAACTTGCAATAATATACTTTGTTGTCGATAACATGTTATTGATATAAAATGTTATTTTATTTTTCTTATTGAAAATATTTTCGTTTTTATTAGAGTTTTATTCTAACAGTTTTAAAAGGCTTAAATATTACTAATATTATATTAGTATGAAATATGCCTGGTTGAATTAACTGGTTGCCCACTACTAAATGGCCTGTAGTTGTAAACACAATTTTAATAGCAAATAGTGTCCAATATATGGGTAATACTTAAGACTTATTTTGAGTGCATTTCGAGTTTGATTGCAATATGAAATTGAAATGAAGTTTACAATAACTTTACCGGTAATTAAATGAACAATAATCTGAAATATAGTTTAAATAAAGTAATTATCGGGATATAATAATCTGGCAATTGGTATATTTCACGATTATTGTTTATTATCGATACTTGAAATTAAAAGTTAGTGAATAAATCTGTGATCACTATTAATAATTTAAACTGCAAAACAAAAATTGAAAATTATTTCTAAATTAAATGATGTATTCTGGAGATAACAATAATTATTGGTCTATATTTGTATGATTTTATTAGATATTAATTTCATTATATAAAATTATACATGAACATTTTAAGTTGTACAGCAAATAAGTTAGAAAACAAATCATTTCACTGACAATGAAATCAATAAAAAATGCTTTAATATATGTCATTGTAATTAGTTTAATAGGTGTAATGTTATGATTATGCAAATTATAATTATTTCATTTTAATAGTCTAATATCCCATTAAAATAAAGTAATTCATATTAAAACTGTTACAATATTTGATATAAAGTATATTTTTGGAGTAAGTATCATAAGTACATGTATATTTTATTGTTTCTGTTAAAAACATAGTATAAAAGTAAAACTTAATATTATAGTATAAGTTTAGAAAATCTTATAAATTACATATAATAATTACAATACAAATGAATTGTTTATTTATTTATTAAAATATAATAAATGGCTAATATAATAAGCCCAACTACTTTTGCATTAAATAAAGTATTGCCGAAATCCCTGTCCATTCCCAGGGCTGGCACTCATCTCTACGGTATTGGTCTATCACTGGATAAGCCATTCAGTGATTCAAAGAGACGTCTATATAATCACCCGATTATCGTATTTATTGTAATCATGTTTTACTGGAATCTAAGATTAATTATATTACTTATACTTCGGGAACGGAATCACAAATTTCATGCCATTCTTGGAGACTCGCCTTATTTTGCAGGCATTCAACTACAGGGGACTGTTATGTTTTTGTTTTGTGGTATTATCGCCATATCCTCACAAATACTAAACTACTTTAACAGTAGGAATGGCATAAATTCGGTGAATTTAACTGTTTTAAAAATGCTATCGGGTTTCATACCACCGGTAGATATCGGTATTAATGATAAAACTATTATATTATTGTTGATTGGATTCAGTAAAAAGTGTATTGCATTCACAGAATTTATGAATATCACAACACCTTATTTAATATTCAGTGCACACTTTATAGCATTTTCACTAAAATTGAAAACTAATCAAATTATATTATACGCGATTCCACATACAATTTTAGCAACAATTTCAACTTATTATATAAATAATATAATACTGTGGCAATTAGTATATTTCACGATTATTGCATATTATTTAAAATTAAAAGTTAAATATGTTAATCAATTTTTATTGCCAATTAGCAAAATGAAAACAATGTTTGCTTTGCATAAAATATTGTATCAATTAAATGATGTGTTTGTGGAGGTTCACCATCACAATAACATTTATTGGTCTAAATATTTAGGCATTTATTGGATATTAATTTCTGTAGTAATAACACTATTTTTATTTGCAGCATCATTTGTCCGTAAATTGTTACTTGTTCAAATAGTAGCGTTTACATTATTCGTTCAATTCCTATTGACTCTAATGTTAATTATACACTATTCAGCATCACTTACATCGCAAACATTTGTATCATACAAATACTTGTTGAGTAATTCATGTCATTTGAAAACTCATTTACATTTGGCTATTTGCAACTTTCATTTAAATTAAAGGTATTCATAAAGCTGTTTATAAATACATTATGGGTAAACAAGCTAAATTTATTTTGATATGTTTATAGTTGGCAACGTTTACCGAGGGGTTGGGACACAAAAGGGTTGGCTTTTACTGTTGGAAACTATTTCTCATCGATAGGTTCAGGGGATATAAAGTCAGTATTTATTAAATAATCTACAAATAATATGCATAAAAATAATTATTTATTTATTACAATCCTATTCTAGATATTATTTTTTATCCCATGGTTATTTATCAAATTTATGCGACATTTTCTATTAACTAATACTGTTAACTAAATTTTGTTTAATAATAGATAATTATAGTAGATCATAAATTATTTTGTTGATTATAAAAAAATATTTATCCTTAAATACCAATTAATTAATAACTATAATTTTTACCATTAAGATATTTTTACAAAATAAAATTGCCAACGTAACTGTACAATATTCTACAATGCATTGTAATTACATTATAAGAATCAATAATAAATAAAATATTAGTATTTTAATGTAAATTATAAGAATATAAAAGTTAGTAAATTATTCAAAACAAAAATCTTAATAAAAAATCATTATTTCACTGTCAATAGTCATTATTTAACTTGAATTATATTATTTATGATTTTATGCATTTATGTTATGTTTATGCAAAAATATAATGAAAATCTAAGATATATTTTAGACGTAAATTACTATTTATTGTTATGTTTTAAACATATAACTTAACGGTGATATAGCTGTATTAATAACTTATTTTCTTACATTAAAAATAATGTTATTATGTTTAATCTAACTTGTAAATGTAATTAAGTAATACAATATGATAAGTCCAACTACTTTTGCTTTAAATAAAGTGCTTCCAAGATCCCTGTCCACTCCCAGGGCTGGCACTCATCTCTACAGTATTGGTCTATCACTGTATAAGCCATTCAGTGATTCAAAGAGACGTCTATACAATCACCCGATTATCGTATTTATTATATTAATGTTTTACTGGAATCTAAAACTATTTATATTTCTTATACTTCCGACACAAAGCAATCAATTATATCTAACTATCGGAGATGTGGGCTATTTTGCAGGCATAAGAGTACAGGGTAATGTTTTGCTATTATTCTGTGGGGTACTAAGCATTTCATCGCAAATATATAATTATTATAATTATATAAATGGTATAAATACATGGGATTTGAATCTATTTAAAATGCTTTCTGGTTTAATACCACCCGTTAGTGTTGGTATTGTTAACAAAAATATGATTTTAAAGTTGATTGCATTCAGTAGAAAATGTATCAAATCTACAGAATTCATAACAAATATATTTGTTTATTCATTTTTCTGTGGAATTTTAATGATTTTTTCATTAAAGCTAACATTTAATGAAATTATGTTTTACGCGATCCCTCATACTATTATATTAACATTGGCAAGTAACTATATCAATCGTATAGTAATCTGGCAATTAGTCTATTTTACGATCATTTCTAAATATTTATCTTTAAAAATTCATTCAATAAACCAAATGTTATTAGTGGACATCAGGAGAGGCAACACTATTACAAATATTTACAAAATTATCCTCAAATTAAATGATATATTTATGGAGATTAATGAATACAATAATACTTATTGGTCTACATTTTTGGGCATTTACTGGATATTAATATCTTTAGTCATTGCACTGTTTTTGTTTGGAGCATTATTTGGTGAATTATTATTATTTGTACGAATTTCATTGATTTTACTATTTATTGAAATACTATTTACATTGATGCTAATAATTCATTTCTCAGTACTTATTACGAAACAAACATTTATATCATACAAACTATTAAATTCATATATGGTTCAAAATAAACAAAAAGCAGTTATATTTGGATTTTGGCAAATAGCGTTCAAAATTAAAGTTTGTATAAAATATTTCAATTAATAAAATATTTTATTTTTATTAACAAGTAAATATTTTGTCCGAATAGTTGTTATCATTTATTGAAAGGTTGGGTCAAAAAAGGGTTGGATTTTACTGTTGGAAACTATTTCTTATCAATAGATTTAGAGGATATAAAGTAAGAGATTTAATGATATAAATTAATTAAGAAATAAATTATACATAAAATTAAATGATCATTTTTGACTTTAGATACTGATGTTTATATCCGTGCTATTTATCAAAGTTGTCCGACA